AAAAAGTTACCTTAGTACAGTAACAAAGTATTTGTATTTCGTTACTTGACACCTCTGTAAACAACCAAGTAAGGAATCCTGTATTTTCTTTTCACAAAGATTATCAGTTGTTAACATGACGGAGATGTACCTGGATCTCCTCTTTGCTGAGTTGTGCTGCATTATTTTCAAATCCTTCAGGCTCGTCCCAGCTGCCCTGCCCAGTCTCTAGATTGTAGAAGTAGTCATATCTGTCCTTGATGCTGTGTTTTACCCAAACACCATCACTGCTGCCTGTAGGATGGAAAACAATTGTGTTTCACACATTCCTAGGGCCCAACTCACACTAAATTGACATCAGCATCTTTCTCAGAGAGTGTAAAATAATAATAATAATATAATGTGAACGGCTTTGGATTGTTTAGATAAGACAGATAAGACAACATTAAGCACAGTTATAAACTAGCGTTAACAATTGTCAATTCTTTGAATTCATTTTACCAGAATATTTATACCTAGAAACGTTCAATTTACGTTTTCTTAATACGCCCCTTTATTTTTATTTTTTTTACTTATTCAATTTTAATTTATTTCATAATCAATCACACTAATTCCTTTTCAGTAACTATAATCACAGACCAACTTATCCCATCATAATCTTCTAATGATTTAAAAAAATAAAAGTAAAAAAATTTAAAACGAGTAATATTAACATAAAGATTCCTGCAATTACAGAAACAATTTTTTTTTCAACTAATTCCTTTGTTAGCTACAGATGCATGTTTTTACCTTAACAACTGTCCCTTTTACTTAGTAACACTTATTGCAAGACCAATCAACATGGGCTAGATTGGGGTTCATTGTTGTCATATAGCTTTTTGCTTAAAAGTGATCAGATCTTTAATGAGTTTGAGGGATCAGACTCAACAAGGCTGAATTAATCATGCAAAAAAAAAAAAAAAGACTACAAATATTGAAGTTTCCCCTTAGTTCAGCTACCGCATGATGCATGCATATTTACCTCTGCTAGAGTTTGTGGTTTGCCTGTGTGCCAGTTCAGTCTGGTATGTTTCGGCACAGTCTGGATGCACAGCTTTCAGTCCTGCACCAGGAACCTGCAAAGCTTGCAAGGTGTTCTGGAAGTCCCCCTCCTCCACCGTCTTATTAATATGAGCAACAGCTTCAGCCACTAATAAAAGAAAACTTTGTTGTTGAGCAAGAATGACAGCTGAACAGAGACCGGTTTATCACAGGAAACATGGTTCAGGATTTTAATTATTAATGTACAGTAAAACAGCATAAGGACGGTAACAAACCTAGAGCCAGAAAAGCAAAACTGTTTAAAATTATTACTTTAAGTAACATTTTAGGATATATGAACATTGGTGTAAGCTGTTAAATGCTTCTATTAAGATATCTGTACTGTACAATAAGGTTTTAGAAATAATTTAAACAATTGTGTTTTTCAACGAACAATTAAACACACTGAAGTATAAACTATGGCACCCGCAGATGAAAAGCGCAGTAAACGACTAAACAAGCTGCAAAAACAGTTTTGATGCAAACTCCAAAACATGAAAACGCACAAAAATTGTGCAAAAAGAAAATTGCTGCTAACAAAAAAATGCTGCAATTAGAAATAAAAGAAGCAGAAACCTGCAATCAACAAAACATGTGCAGAGAAAAAATTTTGCAACAAAAAAAAAATTGCTGCAATACTCGCTGCATACTCGCTCCTAAAAAAATGGAAGTTCTCTGGACCACTAGAGGGAGCACTTCTGTTGAACAAAAAACTAACCATATCAGACCAGAGTGTTCCTTATATTACTATAAATCACTATGTTGTTATTCTGAAACACAACAAACCTCTTCTTTCTTCTTCCAACATTTTTTATCCTGCATTAGGCCCAAGCATCCTTTTTCAAAGGGGCTGGAGCTCTACTGAAACAATAATAAGCTTGTAGCTCACCAACTCTGAGACTGAAACACAACATATGCCCAGATCTTCATCTCCTACTACGCTACAAATCTACTTAATTCTAAAATCCACTGACCACAGCTGCAACACCATGTCAAAAAGCGCTCAGATAGCCAAAATGCAATTAATAACCCAGCTTGTTTTGTTGTTTTAGTGGCCTTCACTTCAACAACGCAGGTAGCGACACTGAAAGATGCATTTCTAATGAAAGCCAACAAGACACTAATTAGGATAAAGTCAAACTCATTAGTAAAACCCTGATCGTTTGCAGCTGACCAATCAAAAAAGTACTACAAAAACACCAGCAAAAACAAGCAAAACAGAAAAAGTGTCTTGACTTTGCTGCTTTTTCATCAAAAGATATCGATCTTCATATAAAGATATCCCAATTAAAGTCAGTTTCTGCAATATATCCAACCGATAGCTCATTTAAATCTGGAAGGTCCTTCTTCTCTCTATATCATGGTACAGCAGCATGCCCATATTTGAAAACTGTAACTTTGTGTAAATCACAAAGACTTTTGCTCATCTTGCGTGTGATTCACTGGGGCTTCTGTCTCTGTCATTGGTGCATATCATCGGATTCTGTAGAAGGTGGCCTTTCAAAAGAGCTATGAAGCTCCCTCATTGGACTGTTATTTAGATACACCCATCTGTCCTCAGGCATCTTTTTTCTATATAGCTTTGTGTATAATGTTTAATTACAATGTGTAAATAAATAATGCTGAAAAAAATAAAACTTTTGGAAGGATAACTGTATTTTTATAGCCAATTATATTACAATATTTCAAATTTAATTTCAAGAATTAATTCCAGATCTCAGATATTACGCCAAACTGTTCCATGATGTCCACCTGGATTTTTGTTCAATCCAAACATCCCTAATTTTTCAGTTGCTTGTTGTATAGATACCAAATTTGTTACATATGTAACCAAGATGTTACTGTATAGTTGCAGTTTGTTATGTGTATTTCCTTTGGTTTTTTTTGGCGGGAGTTATTTCATTGGCCATTTAAAGCCTATTCACTCGGGTCCAGAGTAATTTACTTTCAAATTTTGACTTCCACTACATCCTCCAGGACCTTTTTGTCATTTGACAAAAATATTAGGCCATGGAAAAGTTGAGAAATGTCTTGCCGTATTAAGTATGAGAATGCCTTCATTTTTAAAAAAAAATATACCTGCTTAAGAGGCTTCTTCCAATGTCTTTATGTTTTTATTTTCTTATTTTTATCCTGCAATAAAGCTTAACTTTATGGGTTTGTCCGATATGGTTGGTTCTTTGTTCATCTCCCTCTCCTGGTCCAGTGAGTTTGCAGCAGTTTTTACTATTTGCATTATTTTATTTCTCTGATTGCAGCATTTAATTTTTGCTATATTTTTTTGTTTGCATTCATTTCATTGATACAGGTTTTTGCTTCTACTTTAACTGATTGCAGCTACAGTATTTTTGTTTGCAGCGTGTTTCTGTTGCATTTGTTGTTTTGTTTGCATGTTTTTTTGCTTTACTTTATACCCGAGTTAGCTGCTCATTTCTGTTTTGTTTGCAGTTTTTTCCTTTTGCATTTGTTTTTTGTGCTTGCATGTTTTGGATTTTGCATTACACGTTATTGCAACTGGTTTAATTGTTTAGTGTGTGCTTGCAGCTGTCGGGCTCCGTAGTTACACTCCTACTATACACACTATACACTTAGTGCAGATGTACAGCAGGGCTAAAAGTGTTCATACTTATAAGGGCCTCCTCTTCATCCTGATTGGCTGTTAGGATAGCTTCCTGGATTTGGTCCAACCAGAGCACTGCAGATTCATCTCCAGAACTCTACAATGAGGAAACAAACAAAATCAAATGGTCACCTCAGTTTTTAAGGCAACAAAATAAAACAGCATTTCAAAAATAAAGGTCTGGCAGCCCAGGCTGAAACAACAAAGCAGACAATTTTAAGCTCAACTGGCTGGACTATTTGAAACTAAATAATACTAACTTTTTCTTTTTCATTAATTGAACACACCATCTGAAAAATAACTGGTTGTGCTCAGAGCAACATGGTAAGAGTAATCATCAGTAAGTCTGCTTAAGGTCAAGTAAAAAAAAACAATGTATTTAAAAAGAAACTATTTCCTCTTACATTTTGAGAAATGCTTGTGTTTCGTTCAGAAAATAAGACAGCGCAATATTAAATGGATAACAAGAAACCTATACGAAGTACAACAAAGCTGTTTAGTATAAAACTTCCAACCAGTGCCTATCATTACGGCACATCTGGATCTGGAAATGCTGAAAGCCTGTTTTAAACTCTTACCAGTATAAGATGCTAAAGATTACCTTTAATGTTAATGAAGTAAAATTGTTTGGTTTTACAACATCAGCAAATCTGTTTTTCCTAATGATTGTCCAAACTGATGTCACTTCTCCTAATATAAGTGATCTATGACCATTCAATGAAAAACATTGTTTTTTTTTAATCATAATTCTTAAAGAGAAATTTGCTTAAAATCAATATGTCAGGCCAGAATTTTAAAAAAATAGTGATAAAAAGTTTTGAACAGAACGGTATACAGTAGGTTTAAACCACAGCCTAAATTATGTGCATAAGGTGGTGACATTACAGCCAACAAACATTCCAGAAAGGGGACATCAGAAGAGGGAAAAACAGCAGCCAAAAAAAACTTGTTGGTCCTAACTGGCAAACATCACAATAACTACAAACTCTGTTTAAACAGCTTGATGGCTGGACTTCCTTTTAGGCTAAATTTAGAGACCCCTGCAGAAGTCCAGGGTCATTCATGAGTGCACAATCCCAGGAAAGGAAGTCAGTGCAGCTAAACACTGAGACATCTAACAGATGTGGTTTGTTTATCTGAAATGAAAAGGCTCAACTTTAACAGAAAAGATAAGAGATAGAGATCAGTAAAAGCTCATTTAATTCATCAGTTTGCATTGAGTGCTACATCTAATCTAACTGGAAATTGTTAAATCTCGCTTTTAGATGACAAAAAAAAAAAAAACCACAAAAACATAATTTTATTATAAATCAAGCTACAGCATACAACCATTTTAAAAGGTAAAAAAGAAGAAAATATCTTGTAATGAACAAAACTAAAAAAAAGCGAATAAAAATAAAAAAGCGTTTGTTTACATGTCCCGGATGCTGATGGACCAGTGCACAGCCCCTCCTCTCCGCAGTGAGTCAAAGGGGAATTACTGACTCAGGCAGAAGGGAATTCAGTGTTCAAGCCTGAGCAGGAAACTGGATCACAGCTCCACACACAGACAAGGATCCCACATTTACAAACCAAGAGCTCGGGCAAAAAACAACCACCAACGCCGCTATTTACGCTGCAGAGATGCAAAAGGACAAATCTCACCAGTGGGGAGTTGCTGCAGAGGCCTACGACCAAGAGGACTGAAAACGGACGCTTTGGGGAACCTGGGAAATCAGCCTGAAAGGGACATGGCTAACCTTCTGAGAGGACTTATATTTTTTTTAATGGCAGCACAGACTAGTCAGCTTGGTAAGTTGATTAAAAGTTATTGTTCCCTAAAGGACTACAAAAAGTTTTCACAAAGGGAAGAAAATCATGGAAAAATTCTTGTTAAACCTCTGGTAGTTTTATTTTGATGCCATCGATGTTAAACCAAGTTACTAAAGATTGGATATATACTGTAAGTATTTTTTTTAGAGAAGGCCCGTGGAACCAATTGAAAATTAGAGTAATGGATAAGAGACCTTCCAACTTCAAAGACTCCTCACAAGAAAAAAATTAATCAGAACAACACTCACAAACAGCTTGAATTCATAACAGCTTAACTACAGCTGCAAACTAAACTGTGCTTTAAGCATTCAGTTTTAACTTATTGTAGTAATTATTTGAGAGGCTATAGATCATGGTTTTCTGTTTTTAAAGAAAATGTAAGTACGTATATATCTTTTTGAGAAATTAACATTAATTTAACATGGTCCAAGAACCTTTTGAACGATTCTTTTCATATTTCCAATCTGAAAATAAACTTAAAAAAAATAAAGTTGCATCTAAATCTGCTAGGTGTGCAAATCTAAATAATTTTTGGCTTTACTTCAATTATCTAAGCTATTGAATTAAAAAACTAACAGAATGATGAGTAGAAAAAAAAACTCTTTGAAATTTTAGATGCTTTTAACAAATGAATAATAAATCAATTGTATTCTTTTTATTTACTCATTTCTTTTTTTTCCCTTCTATTTATTATTTTATTGTATTTATATTTGTTTTTACAGGAAATGGAACAAAGACTGCTCCACCAAAAAGTATGAGGGGTTCCTTAAATAAATCTAATTACACAGTCCAGCTGCCTGACCCTTTCCATGCAAACACTGACCCTCACCTGGATGTGGACCCTGAGGGCCCAGTGACGGTTTATACCACAGGGGTCCTCAGCACTTGGGTTATACCTTTATCATACATCCTAACCATCCTGGTGGGCATCCCCTCCAACACCTACATTCTGGCTTTCCTCAGAGTCAGACTCACTTCAAAGACCATCTCCACTGTCGTTCTTTACTTGAACCTGGCGTTGTCGGACCTGCTCCTGGTGCTGTCTCTTGCTCTACGCGTTCACTACCACCTAAACGCAAACGACTGGGTATTTGGTGAAATCTCTTGCAGACTTATCACGGCTTTATTTCATGGAAATGTTTACTGCTCTGCTCAGACTATAGCCTGCATCAGCTTGAAGCGCTACCTGGCTGTGGTCAAGCCATTTCTTTACAGACGGCTGGCTAAAACCAGCCTGGCGGTGTGGATGTGCCTGGTCGTGTGGTTTCTCTATGGAGCCGCAATTGTTCCTGAGCTCCTGGTCAGGCAGAGCTTCCATATCACAAAGCTAGACATCACAACATGCCATGATGTACTTCCACTAGATGAACCCTCTCATTCTCTGCTGGTGCCGTTCAGGCTGGTGCTAGTTTTTCTGGGCTTCCTGCTACCCTTCATGGTTTGTATTTACACCCACATGGCCGTGGTTTATCACCTGGAACAAAGTTCCTGTGACTGGAAACTGTTCATCAGAGTGAGCACTCTGGTTTTTATCATCTTCGTGGTGTGTTTTCTCCCCAGTTGTATCCTGCATACAGCCCACTACATTCGCCTGTTTCATAGTGGCGATGACACACTGTATGGATACTATAGATTAGCGGTTTGTCTCTGCTGTTTCCACAGTTGCCTGGATCCTTTCCTTTGCATGCTCCTTTCCACAGCAGCCGACTCTGAGCTACAATTTATCCCCTTTAACAGGAGACTTTGAAATGCATGCAGTATGAGACTGAACATTTATGCACTAGACGAAAAAAAAAGAGACTATATCTTTGACTATTGCAGCACAAAAGAGAAGAAAGGGGAGGCTTCTGGGTTTTAAATACTTTGATGATGTTCGTGAGTTTATCTGATAGGCTTATGAACACCTTGGAAACTCAATGACAGGAAATGTACTAAAAACATTTACAACAATAGAGAAAACCACAAATTGGATTAAAATAGACATAATAATATCAATATTTTATATGTTTGATATGCCAATCTTGTGTCAGACTACTAAGTGATGCTACGTTAATCAAAGACAAATTTGAGCGAACATTTCTGCCAATACTTAACCCTCTGAAATTAAGTTGTTGGGGAGGTTAAAGCTGAATAGAAGGGCCAAACATTGAAGTCACTGAGCTCCATGAGGTGGGAGACAGAGTTAGGACTCAAGAGGGAAAGAAGAGAACAGAGAAAGTGTCCACATCTTTGGCATCTCCCAAAAAATTGCTCATGAGATATCTGTGTTTGTTGTCTCCTAAACAATAAAATGGCAATTCCAGCCTTCATATATGCACAAATCTGCCCCATTCAACATGAAATGAGATAATCAATCCTGGTAGATGTGAAAGCATTAAACAATGAATCCCAGCATATGAATGCCCTACGCTGTTCAAAATTTACTGGTTAAACTCTTAAAATTCACTTTCCTTTCCTTGGAGATTCTTTAAGTAGAATTTAAGCATTTCCACCAAGGTTGTGAGACTGGTAATCTAATCGATTACCAACTCTGTAAGACTGTGATATTTAGCACCAGTAGCTGAGTGTAAATAGTGTGTTTAAGTAAACAGAAAACATGACCTGCAGGGCAATACACACTGGAGGATGGCTGATATTCATCCAGTAAGACAAAGTTTAGAATACCTGCTGCAAAAAATACTTTAATGATCCCACATCGATCTCTACATCGATTCCAGGATTATTTTCTCGGTTTAATTTGACTCTGATTCCTGCAGTGGAAAACTACCCCTTAACGCTACCAGGGGTTCTGACAAGGTTTGTGCAGTGGAGACACTATTTTAACTGGAATAGAGCTGGTAAAACAACAATCCTGCATTAATCAGCATTTTTGTCAAAGGTTTCACTTGGACTAATATTATTTGGCCTGAACAAACATGCACTTCTATACTTTCAGGATTCATTCTTTTGTAAAAATGTGTTTTCAATAGTAGGTGAATAAAAAATGTGGATGTATACAACCTACTGCATTAATAAAACAATTTCAAAAACAGAGAAAACTGTTTTAAAACAAATAGCAATGGTTTAAGCTTTAAAAAATGATTTCATGGACATTTTAAGGATTTAAATGTATTTTTACAAAAAAATTACAAAAAATAAAAATATATATTGATGATGATGATTGTGACAAACCTGGCAGAGAAGCTGTTTGATGTGATGAAGTGTGTCATGGTAGTGCTTTGCTATGGCTGGGTTTACTCCCGTCAGCTTGGCTGTAGGGAGGAGCAGAGCAGCGAGGGTCTGCTGGTGATCTCCTGAGTTTAGGGCCTCATTGATCTCTGCAATAGCTATGATACCTGCAGATTGACAAAAAAACAACAACTCAGTCGAAATTAAATTACATCTATGATTTAATAATTTTAATTTGAAGCCTCTTCCTGCATCTGCTGCATTGAACCTTCGGTATTTAAAACATTTTTTTAACACTGGGAGGGTATTTTTAACAAAAGGCGAAAGAAAGCTGCAATTTTGTGGACCAGAAACAGTTTCTTACGTTCGTGCTCCTCTTGGACCTGAACGTTGACCATGTCAATACATTTCTGAACATCGTTCCAAGTGAGAAACTCTTGGTTCTTGGAAAGAGTTTCAGCTCGCTCTTCAATAAGCATGTCAGCGTACCTAAAAAAGGATTGTAAATAGTTAAAAAAAAAAAATCATGAATCATATTCATAAAAAAAAAAAACAATAGTAAGCTTTAGAAGGCTCCTAAACATTCAACAGAATTCCCTACTTTAAAAAGAATCCAAGTCAAAGATTTATCAGTTTTTTTTTCCTTTTTGTTAGAATATGGACAAATGTTTTTTTTTTCCTCGTCTTGTCTTTATATTTCCATATATACAATATTATTTACTTTACTTAACTACTCAAATTCAACACATTTCCAGTCTGTGTGGGAAGCCTGACATCATACCATGAGGTTTGCAACTTTGTACTGTTCTCAAAAATAACAGCAGCACGACCTGTGACACTGGTCCGAGTGTTGTTATTGAAGAACCTAATAATTTTACTAATAATTTGCCTCATTAAGTTAGCTTCTTAAAGTTTACCTGTTGAGGCTGTCATGCTCTATGTTTGTAAAACCCAGAGGAGAGTCCGTTAGCTGTTCAATAACAGCTTGTGTGTCTTTCGTGTCCAGCACTTCGTTCAGAACGGCGACAGCCGACAGCATCTCCACAGCTACGCTGAGCTCCTCATGGCTCAGTCCTGACTATTAAACATCAAGTAATGAATCAAAATCAGTAGAATATGTTTTTAATACAGTGAGCAATACATCATAACATGACACACATTTGTTGCTTTAAGGTAATTTGAGCAGATTTGTGTCTGTGAAGCTAAGCTGGTAGTCTTACCCGTCCTCCTTGAAGCTGCAAACTGAACAGCTCAGCTTGATACAGGTTGGCAGCATTTTGGTAGACGATTGGCAGCTGAGCCTCAGGATTCAGCAGCTCCTCCACCGTCTCTGCAGCGTTTCCCAGACGAATGGCTGTGTTGATCCGTGCAACTGCCTCAAGTTCTGGTCATAAAACAGTTACAAATGTTATCTTCCAAATAAAATGACTTGGACCCCGTCTTATTGTCTTAACATCAGTGTTGAGCAAGTTACTTAAAAGAGGTAACTAGTTATTGTTACTAGTTAAACTGTTAGTGAAAGTAAGTAGTTACTTGCCAAAGTAACTATGAAGTTACTATATGATCTGATGTCGAAGTATTTGGAAAACCCTCCTGTTATTGGAATTTTAAAAACAACTGGTGGTTGAATTACGGAATGTAAGGTGTTAGTTTATTAAATAATAAACTAAGTAATTAATTTAACGGTCCATACAACAACATCGAAAATCTGCACCATCTTGGTGATTTCATAAGTGAGTTGAATATGATTATGTAGATGTGATAATGTTTCTTGTGTATAACAATACAAAAATTATGTTTTGGCATCAATATAATTTTTTGCACATTTACAGCCTTCAATTGTCTATAAATTGCTATGAAGCTGAAAAGCAATTTAAATTAAAATACATACATCACAATAGAATTAAACAGCAGTTACACTAATCCAGGAAAAAAAAAACTAGCAATACTGTATGTCTCAGGACTTTAGCATTAGAAAACGTAAACCATGGAGGTAAAATCCTTATAGCCCTGAGATGGTAAAAACCAAGTGTTGAATAAAGACAGCTGCTGTCAGTCAGTGTTATGATGATGTGAGGAGCTTCTTGAAATTCCAGCTCATGATCAACGATAAAGTCTTTGTTTCTGCACATTACGAGCAAATTACATCAATATGACGCCTTCAGTGAGCACTTTTTTTGTAGGAATGCCGTCACTGAATCAGTGGCTCTGCACCATCGTCTCTCCTCTGTGTTCATTATGAAGTTGCGCATAGTTGTGTGCACCACGTGCACTTACAAGTGCACATTGTTACACGTGTGCTTCCAACAGGATACTGTAGTACTTATTCATACGCAGTAAGTAATAAATAAATCTCTTTAATACATAGTAATGACTGACTTTTCCAAACTAATTAGTTACAGGGCTAGTTACTGGAAAGTAACATAGGTACTGTAACGCGTTACTTAATGAGTTAGTCCCAATAGTGCTGAACATTAAATCTGATAAAGAAAATAGAATGGAAAACATTTAGGTATTTTAATACACCTTAAAAAAAATCTTCTGACTATAGTGGATAGAGTGAAACTCAGTAAAAGATCCCTGTGAGTGGAGTAATTAAGAAGGCGTCTTATTTGGATAAAAAACTGGAATTACTTCGTTTCTCTGCCTCAGCAAAATCATTACAGGAGCTGACGATTCTGTGGATCTCCTCTTTGTCCAGCACCATCGACCTCCCTCCATCCTGTGGGTCCAAACAACACAACAATAAAAATAAATCTTTCAGCATTTGTTAAGCTAGTTCAAGGTTTGTACCTCAGCAAGAGTTTAAGTCCCACAAATGTTTCATTAACTTTCAAAAAGGGTTTATTCGGCATTCTAATGACTGATGGTGGGAACACATCTTGGCCTCTAGATGGGGGTTTATTCAAACAGTTTCAGCTCTTCTGCCTGTACCCACCCACCATGCTGGTGCCACCTCACACCTCCCTCCTGTTTAAATACCCTATAACTACACGAATCAGCATCAGATTTTAGTAGGCATAAGTACTGCAGATTTGGGGTTCTTTCACACCCCTGCTCTCTGTCTGCCATTTCAGGTCAGAGGGAAGGGGAGAGGAGCGCACCATCAGGTCAGTATCAGGGTGGAGTTGGGCATTGAATTTTTAGATTTAATTTCCTAGTCTTGGTCCGAAATAAAACCTCAGGGTTTCTGATTTCAGAAAGTTCAAAGTGCAGCCATTTGATTAAAGGATCCCAGAGGTACTGTACCTTTGATTTTTGTTGGATGTAGGTTGTAAAATGTTCCAGGTACCAGGAACCATTTGCCTCCTGGACACCAAGCAGTGACAGATCTTCAAGTCTGAGAGCAGCCAGCAAAGCAGCTTTGTCTTGGACCAACACGGCTTCATTCACTTTCCGTACTGCTGCCTGGGCTGAAGACAACACTTAGTGATGCTCAACTTACTTATGCAGAACACAGGATCATCTAATACAACTTTCTAGCATTTAAATAGAAAAAAATAAATAAATAAGAGTAATGAGTGCTTAGGGAGAAAAGATCATGAGCTCGTCATGTGTGCTCATCCTCACTGTTGACTCGATCAATGCAGCTCTGGATTTCCTGCTGAGTCAGTAGCTCCTCATAAACATCCCTTTCTTCTGTAGCAACCGATGATCGCTACAAAACAAAAATACACATGTATTCTGATTAACATTCACAATATAGTTGTTTCATATTTCATAGTTGTGTTGTTGCATTGGTTTACATTTTTCAGATGGGAAGAAAGGGGAAAGTTGCTGTTTTCACAATATTTGCAAAGAGTGTGGGAGGAGAGACAAGGGACTAAGAGAGGACGTCTAAAGTCTGGGAAATACAGCTGACCATGCAATGACTGGAATGTGCTTGCAGAGAGTGGGGAGTGAAAAACTACTTTGGTTAAGTCTTAATTAAAAGTGACCCATTTGGTCGAATTAAATAAATATTACCTTTATTTTTTAGTCTGTTTTAAGACTTAATTACTTTAGGATAAAAAACTGACGGGTTGGCCACAGACCTTGTCATCTGGTATCAAGCAATGTTGTCAATTCAAAGTAAAGCAACAAGGGATCAGTAATGTTCCACTTCTTTATAAATTCCTGTAATTAGTTGCAAAGGTTAACACTTGTTTGTGTGTTGGGAAGGGGGGGGTCTCTGGAGGAAATCTGTTTCTACTATAACAGCAGCAGATCACAGCTACAGATATGTCGTACAAAAGCCTTCACAAAAACTGTCTGTTAAGTCCCCAGACAGGCCTATTTTTCAAGTTTCTTCCTAAATATTGACATCCTTTTGCCGCAACATACAGTTCATCAATTCTAAAAATGCAAAGGAGCTACAGGTTTAGTCTTCTCACCCTTCCTGATGACTGGTCCCTCTTCTGAGCCTTGGCCTTCCTCAGTGTATCCTGGTAGTCTTGGGCCAGAATTTCCTGCATGTTTCTCAACATTGCATTAGGATTTTTCAAGGCTCCCATTGTCACAGAAGCCTGGCCTCTTTCAACTGCCTCATTGATGGCGATTACTGCAGCGTGTACTACAACAGATGTGGATATAAGCTGGTTAGTGCCAGAAAAAAAGGCTGTTGATTATCCAATTTAATCCTCCCCAAACATCAGAACTCACAAGCGGCTTCATCCACAGAGAGCTCATTGGTCAGGATGCCTCCGATTTTACTGAAAGCTGGCATCTGAATCCCATACTTCTCCAGTTCCCTCCTCATGTTACTGATCTCCTCCTCTGGAGAACAGAAAATCAAAATGAACTGTATAGCATGATAAGGTCAATGTTAACTTTGTAGGGTCATTTCATTTTCTTTTAACTGTTGTACTGGAGCACTATGGATTATCAAGGAAATAAGGATCTATTATTTATTTCCTAAGAGTGTCTGTGTATTAAAGTTCAAGAGCTAAATTAAAACCCTGATCAGTACCCATAGATACGGAAAGTGTTTATTACCTTGCAAGGTAAAATGTGCTAGAACCAGCTTAGGCACCTTTTTCTGCTTCCAGAACTGCTTTAAATATTAGATTAACCAAACAGCCTGAAATCTTTCCTGAACTGTGATCCAAATACTCTAATACTCTAATTCCAGCAGATATAATAAGGGGTTATTGAGCTACAGTGGCCTTGCTGTCACCTATTATTCTCTTAAGCATGAGGTTAACTGTACTGTAAATATTCCTTCACACAACAGATGCTAACATATTTCATGCCATCTTTAGAAGAACAAATACTTTTCACATTCTGAGGATCACTTTTACCTTAAGCAATTCATTCAGCAACGTTATATACTTAGATAATTAATAGGTGGTTTTACTGTTTGTGGCCACAAGTTATCAAACAGTTATATACATATTATTGTTGATAATTGTTTGCTACACAGAGACAAGATAAACACTTTAGAAATAGATGTGAAGGGAACTTAAGAACGTTTACCAGAAATGTTCAGAGAAGGAAACTAATTCAAAATGAGAAAAAAAAAATCCTTAACTTGCAGTAAACAGTAACAAGCTGTTTAAATAAGTTTAAAACAACGATGCTTTAAAGTCCTCACGATTTAGATTTATTTCACTCCAAATATTTCCCAATATAAACATTCAAAGATGTGCATGCCCTAATGTTATGATGCGTGTATACACATTAAAATGTAAAACAGCCAAATGCAGCTTCTGACCTTCAGGGAAGTAGTAATAGTTTATTATTCATTTATTTATTTTTTCTTTTTAACGTTTTCTAAGGCTTGCTTTCAGCAGAACCCAGTTTCTACAGTTTTTACCTGTAAAGTCGACTTTCCCCAGCAGGTCCTGGATCTGTGGCGCAATCCCCAGTTTGTACAAATATAAGCTGAGACAAATAATAACAGGCATTAAAAGTTATGGTTAAAAGTATAGTTTCAAATAAAAAAAAATAGCAGAGAAATGTTTATTTTTCTTTCAGCTAGTTGCTACCGAAACCCATCCGTCTTTCACCACTGGATGGCAGTAGTGGCTCATATTACACAGTGCAATACCTGAAAACAGCCAGCAGACTCCAAACAAAGCCATGAAATCAACATGCAGGTGAGTGGAAACTCCATTAAAATTTCATCCACTCTCAGGCACCTGATAAGAAGTGATGAATTATAGATATCTATGGAGGTCTGGCATCAGGACAGCTCTAAACATGAAAGTTGTCGTTCATTTAGTGGCTGTCCTGCCCTTTGATCACTGTGTGTGTGAGCAAACATTCACTGCACTCTGTCCTTGGGACACAGGGGGCTTCGACCACCAATTTAAACTTTGCTTACACAAAGAGGCAGGTTTTGACACACTTGCAGCTGATTCAGACACAGATATGGATCGGAACAGCTGACTGAAGGTAATGAGGGCAGCCTCCACACAAACAGCACAGGTTAGAAACAATTACCTGAAATGGCTGTGAATGACAAGCTCCCTCCAGACAATGAAAATACATTTTCTATTTAGCCTTTTCCATTAACATATTAAGTAGTGCTTCAAAAGGCGAAACGCTTCCCAGGTGAAACTTAGTTTCACTTCAGGTTTGAACCACAGTCCACGTGTGGGATTCCTCCTGCTTTGCTTTGTCTTTCCGACTGGTGGGACGTTAGTTGGACTAACAGCAGGAAGGAAGTGCACGTGTGTGAATATGAAGGGAAGGAAACCAATCCTCTCAGGACCTGACCAGAAAAACTACAAGGCAGAAAACAACCAGCAAGCTCACAAAACCACTCCCTATATTAGTGACAAATATGGATATCTTACTGTAATCATTGCCCTCCCACTGAAAATCTAATAGTTTATGTCAGAAAAAAATATATATTTATTTAGGTATTTTTTTCTATTTTTATTTATTTATTTATTTTTTAAAGTACAGGTTTAATTTTAATCCCTCAACCAAAACTGAAAATAAATAATGACACTACAAGAACAGTAGCTAAGATTAAACTCTACAGGTTTTAATGTATACAAAATAAAGGAACTTGAAATGACCTAACCCTTAAAAAGTAACACTATGTTTCGTTTAAAAATAATCAGGATATGAAACAGATTACCAAATGTCTCCATTTACATATGGTGTCAAATATGAGTCATACATTTCCCACTAATTATAAAAGGTTTGTTGAATAGAAAGAGCTCCCTCTACCTTCTCAGAACAGAAATATACATTTTTCAGCTTTTGTTTTTGTTTCACATCCCTTTCTTAACTTAAAAAGGTCCAAAGGGTGTTTTAGCAAAATTGAGAAATAAATCATTATTTATAAACACCATCTTAAATCTTCTTTGCTGTGATCAAAGCAAATATCATGGTTGAAGCAGTACAGTCAGATCTGTATCGACACCCCCCAGTGAGCCCATTCTGAGAAGTGTTTTCCTAATTGGGTTTGGTCTGTTTGCAAAATGGGCCAGAATTGTACAGAATTGTACAGAAAAGAAATATTAATGACTCCTCACAATAATTACTCAGGTAAAAAGTAGATCATCTTTTATCATCAGTGTGCCATTGAAGGCAAAACAAAGATTTTTTTTTTCCAAATACTAATGAATTATTAAGATATAAATCGATTTTTTCATATTAATGTTCCCCTTTGTACTTTAATCGATTCAGTATCTCTTTTTTCCACCAGTGCAAGAACAGAAAAATCTATCAAAAAAAAAAAAAAAAACTACATTTCAGAGCAATGTCAGACTTACCTTAGTGCATGTATGCAGTACACCACCCTGGGCATGTTTTTGCGGTCATACACATCAGTGGTTTCTGGATAAAATATCTGAAATAGGAAAGCAAAGTTATTATGCTATTTTTCTCTTTAGCACTTATGTTCTGTAAAAGCAGTCCAAAAAAATATTCCACTGATAAAAACAAAAAAACAAGAGACATATGTCCAAAAATAAAATCCTAAATAAAAAACCTAAATATGCTTTATAATATCTGACTGAAAATCTTTCTAAAGATACAGATACAACGGTGAATCTCACTGATAAAATAAACTGCTTATTACTGTTCTACTAAAGATACTACATCTCCTTTCACCTTCATTTTCAAAAAGTGAATCAGATTCAAAAAGGAGCATCACATTTTATATACTTATCGGTAAGCAAATTGAATCGTTTAGCTTTTAAGTTTTTCAGTATTAACAAAAAAAAAAAAAAAGGAGCATTCATGTCTGATGAAGCATTTAGGTCTTGAAAAACTTGCTCATAACTACAAGACTTCTTTTTTTCCCCCCCAAGCCTGGATGGACACATATTTTAGCGAAAAATAGAATTAGAAAAAAAAGCACTATAAGTGTTTTGGGATTGGGATTTCATTTGTCATAATTTTTCCATCATCAGCTTTTTCTTATTTACCAATCAGACAGGGATATTTCAAAAAAGATCACCATTTATCCACCCTATAATGTGAAAAAAAAAATTAAGACACACAGAAATAAAACTGTTTTATTAAAATAATCAGGAAAAAATTTGACTTAGAAATTAAGGTTTTACATTTGTTTTAATCAAATCATTTTATTTCATACAAATTATTTCTTGATGTTTTCTTTTCCCAAACCCTCTTTCATATGCATCATCCTCATACGTTCATAACATTATTACTGCCTTAAACCATCTAATTTGTCAAAACATTTTACTTTTAAATACCTGTTAGTCAGGTTGTTTTACTGGGTACTAAGTGAGAGAATACCTCGGCCTGCACAAGGTATTCAGATTTACAGTTCTGCTACAGTTTCAAAATAAAAGCATGGTTGTGCACGGTTCTTTGTCTCTGGTGACCAATGACTGCTGCAGATGTGCAACAGCCCAATGGATGGATGGATAGAGAGAGAGTTTAGTTGTCTCTGAGGTCAGACAATAGAGAAAATATCTACAATATGACAGGTTTTTAGTTTTCTGCTATATTTTCTATCTATTGAAATAATAAACTGAACAGACCAGAGGGTCAAGACCATTATTTTTCAGAGGCTTTGGTCAAACTCTACCTATAATTATAAATATGGATTATGTATTGTCACACAAAAAGTTAAAGAGGATGGTTTATTCTGTAAACAAGGCAACAGGTATGCCTTTATTCTTCATTGTTTAAAAAGTGTTTTACAGATAGAAACTAAGCACACCCTTTGGCCAGAATAGAAAGAGACTGATCTGCATGAATGCCTATTTTCCCATAATCACTTGTTAAAAAGGGACCGGGGACTTACCTTAGGAAGGCCCACTGACTCCATGGCCCTAAGCCACTGCACAGTGTTGTCAGTGTGTCTAAAATGCAGCCCTTTGCTCTGCGGACAAGCACAGCAGTAATAGTGAGGGACTAGAAAGAAAGCAGTTACAAAATTAACCCAAAGTATAAGAAATGAAAACAATGAGAGTTGGTTTGACAGTTAAAACCCGTGGTTGATGCTGTGTTAGACTATTTTATACTTGATGTGCACTTTAAAGAAAAGCTTTCTTGTAAAGCTTTCAACACAACAGCTGCATGTTTCAGTTTGGCTGAATCCTGAATCTGTTCATAACTGTCAGGAAGTATAAAACCGTTCATTAACCACAAAGCAATCTTTAATCTGATTAGATGAAGCAGATTAACGGAAGCAGATAAAAATAAATACCTTATAACGAGCCTGATCTCTGTCATAGATCTTCTTTGCAGGCACCAGTTTAGGGGCAAAAAAATTGGCAAGTTTTCCAAGATAAACACCATTCCGAAGTCCATCCTCCAGTTCTGTAGTGGCGGGCAAGTCCTCCTCTAAGCAGGCCTCCATCCAGCTGCACAGAAAAAAAAAACAATGCAAAGTGTCTGTTTAAACCCATGTATCTGGATAAACCACAGAATAAATTCACACCAATTAACATTTATTCATTTCAAGCCCACTCACTTCTGTGGATTTCATTTGTATTAAAATGTAACAGACTGTACCAAAGTACTGCATAACTGTGATATGGAAGAAACAGGATTCATAGTTACTAAGTTTTTTGCATAATTTCAGATCAGCATAAAAGCAGCAGTTCAGTGAAGGTCCACAAACATTAGAGATATTTCATGGAGGAAAGTTCAGTCCGTGAGTGGGAAAACTGAAACAGTATGGTATGCCTCCAAACCTACTTAGACATGGATGGTCCTTCTATTAGTTATGCTCTCAACAAATCTGGCCTTTGCTGAAGGGCGTGCAGAAGAAAGACAGAAAGTCACAAGAAATCTTATTTACAGTTCATCATACACCTTGTAAGAGACAAATCTATGGCTGTAACATGATTACTTTAGTAATAAACTATTTTATTGATTATTCTGACAATTACTTAAGTCAACGGATATAAAAAAAAATAAATATTCAGCAGATTTTGCACCCAAATACTGAGGCTTAATTGATGGGTAATAGGAGTACATGAAAAAATGGAAATAAATCTAATTCCTTTTTTTTTTTTTTTTTTTTATAAAGTTAAAGATTCTTAAGCAAGAAAACAGTTGAAGAAAGCTACAATTGTTGTAGAAATGGACACAAATAAAAAAGTGCATTACTGTAAGTTTTCCTACATATAGCTCATCTTTTTAAAGTTTTTTTGCATTGAAAAGCATGCCTTTATTCATATTTTAACTGAATCCTGCAGGATTCCAGTTGCACTCTTCTAATCAGTGCAAAAACAGACTTCTAAAAACAATCTTATCACAGAGAACTGGTATAACAAAATAAATAAATAAAAATAAAATTACCATTGTCCATTTTTTTTTTTCACAATAAAAAACCCAAAGAGACTGAATAAAGTTTGAGTTTCCAACATGTCATAAAGTGAAGCAGTTGAAAGGTGTGCATATCAAAGGAAGAATTTAAGTTTACCACTTTTCTCCTTCCAGGGGTGCGGTAGCTATTGGGGGGGAACACGGCCATCTAATATCCACATTTGTATTAGAAAGATGTCTGAAGGCCCACATGGAGTCAACAAGTCAATGTTGGATTTTCCTGCACCTGCTTTCCTTTATGTCGAAACTAGAGAAGTTTAACACATGCATCCAAAACTAAATCACAAATCACTGATTCACATTCCTTTAGTTGTGTCCTTTGAGTCATGCAAATATAAATTTCCCTATTGGCAGCTATTTATGGTAACACCCAGATATATGGGACGTATTGATGCATTTGGCGTTGCAGTGCTAGTGTAGGGGAGAGGAGCATTGTTGCAGACAACTCCCACACAGAGTCCTGCATGCTTTAGGGAGGAGGCTGCAGACTCTTTTACAGTCTGCTCATTGACTTACTGCATATGAATGACAAAAATGTGCAAAGTAGGTTTCATAATCACTAAATAATGCACAATATCTTTACAGAACTGAAAACTGAGTCACCAACAGGTTATTCTTTTTTTATATTTCTTTGGTTCACTTAAAACTGATGTCATTTCCTCTAAACGATTAGCAGCTGCTTCATGGACACAGTCTCAGCCAGACTATTTCCAGAGGGGTGTCATTCCAAAAGCTAGTGAACGATTTGTGAGCCTGCTGAATTATTGCGGTATGAGAGCATGTTACACATCATCTTCTAGCCCAGATGTGACATAACCATTTATTACAATGCTTTTACCTAAATCCTAACCATAATTTAACACTGAATCTTAGCAAAGCTATTACTTTGCTGTTCATTACCTTGACACTTTACAGAGGGTTCAGGGTGATTCCATTTGCTTATGATGCATTTATTGGTTTAATTCACAACAAACAATCCCAACCTCCCTTCACTTTTAGCGGCAGCAGTAATACGTCTCCCACATACACGCACAGGACGCCTTGTTTAGATTCATTAGGGCTGTACAGGTGGTGAGCGGCAGTTTTCCAAAACATGGGTCAGCATCTTAAAGTGCACTGTGTGCTTTCAAAGCACAGCTAATGACGTGTGTGTATCAGGAGGAATAAAGCATTCCAACAGCCTGTTATCTCAACCGGTGGTGTGGAAGGCTAATAAAGCATGACCACACACTGAGAAGGAAAGTCTGATTATGTTTTCCACATGTGGCGTGGATGCGTTCATATTAAGCAACTTAGGCGTTTCTAGACAGGGGCCAACAGGGGCCAGTGTCCCAGTAGAAATGGTCATGGCCCCTGACATAATGGCAGATACATTTATGATAAATTAATTATATGTGCTGGCACAGCAATCGGAAACTATTTTGATCTTTTTTTTTTTTTATCTTTTCAGGTTTATTGTTTAGGATGTTGTAAAAAAATAGGTTGTTACATTTTTAGCTTCAGGCATATTAAGATATGATCACAGAATTTTCTGTATCTGAGGTTTCCAGAGCAGTAAATAGCTATTTAGTTCACTTAATATTTTAAACAATGAACTTCTGGCCCGTTTTGTGTCATTGTTTTAGTAGGTGCCTCTGTCAAAAAACACAGCATGAATTGATGCTTCGTGTGTGTGTGCATGAAGCACGACTTCATACACACACAAAAACACACTTCTCTTCTACAGGTCATTTTCCTCAATCTGTTCCATTCAGTTCAGTCCAGTCCAGCACTGGCTTTTGCATCTGCTTGCAATTGTTTTGTAGTAAACCTTAACCCTGTTCTACTCCTTAGGTTCTATCTTTCCTGCATATTTTAGATAACTCCCTGCTGCCACACACATTACTTTAAAGAATAGGTGATTAACAGGCTTCTGCTTCGCTTGATGGTATGTCTGAGGAGCTAATGCAAACTTCTGAAAACACCACTGTTTTAGATGATTGTATTATCTTATCAGAATACCACTAATCTCTGCAAAAGCATGTCAATAATCCATTCGTTAAAATCAACTGTGTGGCAACAGGGAAACATCTGAACTATGCAGGTCAGGGGGTCCTAAAGATCACCGCTTTAAAAAAACAAAAACAAAAAAAAAACGCATTCTTCACAAACAGTTGAATCTATGTGGATAAACTACTCCTATAAATTTAACACAACTTCATGCCCTTTATCGGCCACTTCACAGGTATGCACTACATTGTGTTGCTGCATGCAGACCAGGTAATTTGACTCCGAAAGAAGCGCATCTGCATTTTGCAGGATTGTAACTCTATCTGCACTTAGGAATGCCTTCTGCAACAAAAACTCCAAATCAAATCAATATAAACTTGAAGCTTAAAAATATGAAAAAATCTGAAGAGTTAAGAATGAATTTGATGGGCACTTAAAATATACATTAGGGTTTCCTATTATACAGTGAGGAAAGTAAGTATTTGAACAACCTTCTATTTTGCAAGTTCTCACACTCAGAAATCACGGAGGGATCTGAAATTTTCGTTGTAGGTCCATATCCACTGTCAAAGAAAATAAAAAGAAAATCCAGAAATCACAATGTATGAGTTTTTGAACTATTTATTTGTATGATACAGCTACAAATAAGTATTTGAATACCTATCTGCTAGAATTCTGACCCTCAAACACCCGTTAGTCTGCCTTCAGAATGTCCACCTCCACTCCATTTATAATCCTAACTTAGATGCACCTGTTTGAGGTCGTTAGCTGCATAAACACACTGTCCACCCCATACAATCAGCAAGAATCCAACTACTAACATGGCCAATACCAAAGAGCTGTCCAAAGACACTAGAGACAAAATTGTACACCTTGACAAGGCTGGAAAGGGCTACGGGGAAATTGCCAAGCAGCTTGGTGAAAAAAGGTCAACTGTTGGACCAATAATCAGAAAATGGAAGAAGCTAAACATGGCAGTCAATCTCCCTCGGACCGGGGCTCCATGCAAGATCTCACTTTGTGGGGTCTCAATGGTCCTAAAAGAAATTTAGAAATCAGCCCAGAACTACATGGGAGGAGTTGGTCATAGGGGTGCAAATCACACCCATCACGGCGATTTGATTCAATATCAATTTCCTGAACCAATGATTCGATTATTTTCAATCCTCAAGAATACAGCATGATACGATTCGATAAATTGGCAATTTTTTTTTTTTTTACCTTAGAGGCTAGACAACGTTTCAAATTTGAAATAAATGAATGAAAGCTGTAATATCGCTATGCATTTTATTTGAGAAACAACAGCAAATAACAAAGGTAGCAAAGTTGTACACCACCTAGGCCTATGAAAACCTCATTCACTGTAAAATAATAATGCCTCTGTGTTATAGATTCTGAAAGGCCTTGCATCAAAAAATACTGCAAGTGGAAAGAGGGTGGTGGCTAAAGGAAGTGAGGATGGAGGGCAAAATATGTTTACCGGCACCACAGCATCGAAGTCAGAATTACATCCAGGAGCAAATTGATAAAAATAGCGGATGTGTCGATGCATCGATCCAACAGCCTACGATTCGATGCATAATCGTTTTTATACAAAACGATTATTATTTACACCCCTAACTCGTCAATGACCTAAAAAGAGCTGGGACCACCGTTTCCAAGGTTACTGTTGGTAATACACTAAGACGTCATGGTTATAAAATCATGCATAGCAAGGAAGGTTCCCCTGCTTAAACCAGCACATGTTTAGGCCTGTCTTAGGTTTGCCAATGACCATTTGGAGGATCCAGAGGAGACATGGAAGAAAGTCATGTGGTCAGATGAGTCCAAAATAGAACTTTTTGGTCATAATTCCACTACCCGTGTTTGGAGAAAGAAGAATGATGAGTACCATCCCAAGAACATCATCCCTACTGCGAAGCATGGGGGTGGTAGCATCATGCTTTAGGGGTGTTTTTCTGCACATGGGACAGGGTGACTGCACTGTATTAAGGAGAGGATGACCAGGGTCATGTATTGGGAGATTTTGGGGAAAAACCTC